CAGCCAGGTCTTAAAGATTTACCAGCACACCATGGTTATAAGGAAAGCTTTCCTGGGGTCACAAAACTTTGCTTGCCTCATATATAGAGAGAGATGAAATTTCATCTGGGCCAAATGCCTTTGAGTGACTTGCCTGGGGCCATGCTTAAAAAAAAGTAGTGTTTGAAGCCAGAAATAAAATTAGAGTTGATTTATTTACATTTCAAATTAAAATGAAATATGTGTCAGCCCTACAAGGTAAACCAGACCAAGGAGTAGATACCACATAGGCCTAACACTACTTTTATTAGAGTGACACAATCTTGCAAGTTTAAACGTGCTTCCTCTCCTCCCTCTTTTACCTTCATGTCAATGGGGGGAGGGAAGAAGTGCCTGTCTGAGACATGTTCCTAAATTTCTCTCTTCATAGGGGCTTAAGCCACATTTTACCTGTTCATTGCCTTTGTAATGGATCATCTCTCTCTCTGTCAAGGTCAACCTCTATATTCTCTATGATATGGTTAGTACTCCTGGTCCTAAATGGAGTACTTTTCTCTTGTGTCCAGGGCATCTGGAGGTGGTGGTGTAAAACAAGTCAAAATAGCAACCATGACTGTGGAACCAAAGCTGCCATCTTAAATGTTTTGACTCCCTCCCCCTCCAGTGGAGGCCAATACTTGGGTCACATTAAAAATTATAATTTGGTAGGTAACAACCTTTGGAGGTCTCTGGAGGCTACCTTCAAGACTTTTGGAGCCTTCATGAAGCTTTCATGCTTCAGTCTGTATGCCTGTTTCTCACACACAATTCTGAGGTTGACTACAGTAGAGCAGAGGAGATTCCTAAACTTTTTGCCATCACACCTCCCTCTAGTGCAGTGTTTCTCAAACTCAGCAGGTTTAAGATGGGTGGACTTCAACTCCCAGAATTCCCCAGCCGGCTGGGGAAGGTGGATTTTTTTGTAACAATGTAACTAAAAGGTCCTTCACACCTCCCCTGGACTCTGCCTGCATCTTTCCAAGGGAGGTGCACCTCCCAGTTTGAGAAACCCTGGACAAGAGCAAGCCATGGCTAGTACAAGGAAGATACAGTCATGGTTGCCCAGTTTTCTCCTTCCCTAATGAACTTATTGGTTTGCCCCACCCCCAGTTTTTAACCCTTTACTTGCCCTTCATCATTTTGATTTGAGTGTTTTCACATTTAAGTTCAGAAGACTTTGGCCTTTTGTTTCAGATAGCAAATATGCAGTGGAAAGCCCGGGCTTTGCTTAATCATTATCCAACCTTGTATTCAGAGCAGAGCAATAAATATTCAAATAAACAAAGCACCAAATTCCAGTAAGATGTCTATTTCCTAGTTACTTGTTAAAGCAGTTGATAATATACTCTCAATCTCATCATATTGTGGGATCAATCTTTAAACTGTGCAATGCACTTTACCAATTTTCTGAATCAGTTCAGATGAATTTAAGCCAAGATATGAACGAAGCAGTAGATCACAGCCTCAGCAATCCTTTCTTATGAGCTATGATTAAAGTCAGAGGTTCCTTGCAAACTAGATTGTTTTACTCTGAAACAAGAATCTAAGGTTCTAAGGAATCTAGTACTAGGATAATACTAGGATAATAATAGAAATCTAGCAGAGAGCCAGTTTGGTGTACAGTACAGTAGTAGTTAAGGTGCTGGCCTAGAAAGTACTGAAAGAGTAAGGTGAGACTCTAGACAATTATGCTTTATTCAGTAAATCATGGTTGAGCAAAACCTAAGCTTAGCATGTGTAAACCTAGTTTTAATTCTGTTATGGTTTGATCCAAGTATAGTGATTTATGCTAAAGCTTTTAACAGAATGTCCATTCAGTAGACTGAAACATTTTGATATAATAACACAGTGAAGCCTAAAGTACAGTTATGAGAAGATAATTTCACTCCTAGCAGAGGATAACAGCAGACAACTTCTAGCTACAATAATTAACAGACAGCAAGTTAATGCAGGAGAGTAAAACTAATTATAGAGGGACTGTGAGTATTCCAGTGCTCTATTTCTAGTCTTCTATTCCTATATGGTGGAATATCATGTTGTATTATTTTCCTAGCTATCTTTTAAAAAAATAGGAAAAAGTGAAGACTCCCTTGAGTCAGTTTTGACTCCTGATGAATATATAGAAGTGAGCTTTGCCGCCTCCTTCTTTTTTTTAAAAAACTTCAGAGCAAAACTTATAGCCCTGGGATTTTCTCATGGTCTCCTATCTTAGTACTAATCATGCCCAACCAGACATAACTTTTGGGGATCAACCAAAGTTAAATCAATGCTGCCATTTGGTGTAACTTTGCTAAATAGTTAGGTGAATACTCATGTTGATCATTCAGATTTACCAAAACTATGGACTATTTTGTTCCATGGTTAGGAAGGGGTTATGGCATAATATATGCAACAGGTGTCTGACAGGTTGGGTTCTGATGTGGGTCAGCTGAATTTGGGTGAAGCTGAAATTTAGTGCTATTAAATAACTCTGAGTTTACTTAGGGACATAAGAAGTATGAGGTTGACTCATCCCTAATTTAGATGCATTAACATATGTTGAAAGGACAGCAGGAACCCTAAATGCTGTTTTGTGAAATAAGTTTAAGAGTAAGTTGCAAGTGGGTGAGGGACAAATAGAGTTTTGCTCTGAGGCTAGATTGTGGCAGAAGCCTGTTTCACCACTCTAAGCTATTAAGAGAGATTTCAATGGTAAATGATATTAACTGAGGTTGAAAATGAAGCAGGGAAGGTGGGCATCTAAAATGGTACCAAACTGCCTTTTCCCAAGCATGGAATCTACATCCTCAGGCTTAGAGTCACAGGATGAACCATAAACACACTACTAATGTTGACTAGAAACTAGAAGTAATCTTAAAAGTGGTAATACAACCCCAAGCCAATTTGCCCATCATCTCTGTAATCTGTGTGGTTCACCTATTTCCTCTTTGTTGTTTCTTATCCAGACAAAACATCCTCAACTCGTTCAACCTTTCTTCATGCTATTATTATGCATTTGTGTTAATAGTATATATGGCAAGCTACTGTATATAAACAGAGAGCAAACCCCACTCCCTTTTAGCACTGAAGATGTTACCTAGCTGGGTAATGAAACGTCTGCAAGAAAACAACCATGCTCAGAGAAACCCAATAACTCCACACTTCAACCCCGAGTTACATATATTCTCTTCTATTAATAATATATATTATTACATTATATTTTATATTATTATTATTGCTATGATTTTAATAAATAAAAATTATAAACTTAGTTTATTGGCTTTAAAAGAGGAGGAGGTTTAAATCCCAACTATCTGCAAGCTCTGCTTTGAGTTTTGCAAGAGATTAATCAAATAACTTTGTTAGTGGTGCTTGTCTTATTATGCAAATTGTTTTATAACTGCATTGAAAGCCTGGGCGATCAAGGACACAGTCCACCCCATTGTTCCTGTAAATACAGTTTGCTTAAATGCACCATGGGCCAGGACTAAAGAAGTACGTTCTTCAAATGAATTCAAGGACTTGGACATGCCTAAACTAAATGACTTCTTTGCCTTGATTAGTGTATCCAAACCACAACATGCAGCTTTTGAAAGCCAACACTCAGATTTCAAAAACAGTTTAATATGTGACATTAGGAATGGTAATTTGAGAAATACTAGTCTAGAATTTCTTGGACCCATGGAAATAATTGCATAATTTCTTGGATTCTGACCAATGAGTTTGTGGCACACTCCCCTAATTAGAAAGAAATGCCCTTCTTTCTGGTCTGCAAGATGTTTTATAGCATACAACAATTAAGAAATCCACATACCCGTTTTCTAGATGCTTATGTCAACATGAACCAAGAACTTCTGCATATGTCCAATGTTGGACACATGAACACATGCACCTGATATGACCCTGATTGTAAGAATTAGGTTGAATCAATTCAGTGGAATCAAAATAGATACGCTACTTCACCTTGCCAAATCTAACTTGCATCCTCCAACATGTCATCAGGTTTGAGCAATTTTAATGCTTGCGAACAGAAAATCTTCATCAGGAAATTCCATCCAAATTCCAGCTGAATGGCTTTGCTTGAACATCCTTAATATTCTAGTGACAGAACAAGTGCATCACTTCAGCTAACTATTAGCTATGAAACAAAAGCTTGAAAACCTACTATTTTGCCGGCTCTGAAAAGGGAAGTATGATAATATTATGCACTGTTCTACTTTCTCTAACTAGGAAATGTTGACTTTACAATGACAATTGTGTAAGGAAATGACCGCTTCAGTTCTTCTGTAAACCATGGTAGGAAGCAAAGCCAATTATTGTCTCCATTGCACATCCCTGAATTTAATAAACAGGGTTGTATATCACTTTTCCATACATACATGTATAGGATATATAAGATTGTAAACTGCAAATGATTTGTAATGGTAGAGAGAAAGTTCTTTTGACTGTAAAATATAATACTTTCATATCCTTAACAGTTTTTTTTGAAGGACTCTATATAGCACTATCATGCAGGCTTTATATTTATACTCAGGGATTCCAAGTCAAGATGAAATGCAAAACTATTACTTCTGCATTTTCAAGACTGGATCAGTCATTGTGTGTGTGGATGCATCCTGAAGTCTCCCTTTTTTTTTTTTTTTGCAAAAGTTGGGGAAAGTTTAAAAGATTGCACTTTATGGATTCCACAAATGTGAGTTAGCATTGTAACAGAGCAGATTTATGAACTGAATTTGCATACCCACTAGAGTTTAAATAACATTTGTCTTGTTCTTTAACAATAATATAAGCCATAAGCAATTTGTAAATATTGCAGGGAAAATATTTTAGATAAAAATGGAATAAATAATAGTAAAGTGTGTGTGTGGTTTTATACACACACACACATACATACTGTATATATAAGTGATCCATATATCAAGTATTGAATTCTTCTAATGAGGCATTTACATTTACCAGGTTTTTTCTTCCTAATCGTAAAGTCAATCTTTCAACCTTTTCAGAATGCGCAAGAAGCACATGGGGTAGCTGTACCGACACCATCTGTTCCGGCGGGCTTTGAGGACAAGCTAGCTGTAGGTAAGATGACAACTGGGATGGATACTCACCATATCTAGTATCTGCATATCATTAGCTACAGTTTATTATCTTATTTGACAGTGAAATCCTAAATTTTGCTTTGGCATCAGTGCATCATCTTGCAATATTAGCACAATGTTTTTTTTGTGGTGCTCCTGAACCTTTGTGAAACTGTAATCAATCCTTCACATTTAGAAACTTAGGACTGAAACAAAAGGTGTTGACCACATTTTATGGAAAGGGTCTTCAGCTGGAGTAATCAGGGAATCCATCTACCAGGAAGACAGAAAGATAACTTCTGATTCCAGGATCCGTTTTTCCTGTTAAGATAAATCAGCCATGTGGTACCTATAGGTATTATGGCATCCGTGATTACTCTTAAGTGATGCCTATGCAATAGCAATTTTTTAAAAAAGTAGTTGTTTTTGGCTTACTGTTGTTTTTGGCTTGGTGCTGCTTTTATTGCTGTCATGTATGAAGTTTTGTTGTGGTTTTAGATGTTACCATGGATGTTTTGAATCATTATTTTATAGTCTATGCCAGTGTTTCTCAACCTTGGGAACTTTAAGATGTATGGACTTCAACTCCCAGAATTCCCCAGCCAGCTTTGAGAAACACTGGTCTATGCTGTGGTGTGCTGGTAAATGTTTAAGAACTGGCTCCAGTGCCGCCACTGCCCCACTAGCCATGTGGCTCAGTTCTGCTCTCAACTGGTTTGCAAAATTCCAGAAAATTTAACAATTGGCTTTTGCAAGCCAGCTCCAGCACATCACTGAGTCTGTAACCTACCAAGAGTCTTTTTTGATTGTGGCAGAATAAAAATGTGCTATAAATGAATGAAAGAATGAATGAATGAAAACTAATTTATGAGATTGTCAAATTTCAAGTGTTTTCTTGTGATATCTCAAGAGCATGATTAACAAAATGTCATAAAACTGTGGCCATTTAATTTTGAGACAGCTCCTTTTGGTGACCTCTGCTGTTCCAGTTAAGACAAATGGTTTAGCCATATTGGGCCATTTTAAAAATTTGTCTTTATTTGAACAGACTGTAATACCCATAATGTGTATATTTAATTACTGTGTTAAATTATCTGTTTAAAAAAGAACTGGTGGGGTTTGAGTCAAGAAGGACCTGAAGAGCAGTGTCTCAATTCATATCCCTACCTTTGGCATTTTCAGTCAATTTTAGAAAAATCCTACTGCCTATATTCCATAACTGACAATAGCTAACAACCCAACCCAATTTAAATTCAGTGACAAATATCAACACTCATTTAAGCTTGGCATATCTGTGACTCAATTGCTGAGGATGCCAGTAATGCAAAGAAATGTCTTTAACCCCCCTCCCTCACTTGATAGCTAAGTACAACCTTCCTCTAGCCCAGTGTTGTCCAAACTTGGCCACTTTAAGATGAGTGGACTTCAACTCCCA